TTGCCTCATGGGATCACAGGCACAACCACATCCTGGCCAACAAATTTCTCCAAACCAGAAAGTGTATGAACTAAAGTTCTGTGTTGTTTCCTCAAGCATAACTACTACGGAACTCAGTGTGGTCAAACTCCAGGTGAAATTCAATTAAATGTGAGGTCTTCACTTCCTCAGTGGCTAACTCAATGTCAAAAGATAGACTACCATGAATCAGGTTTTAGTCTTTATTATTAAATGACATGCTCACGTATTCCTCTTAGAAACACTAAATGGTTTCCCATTGCTTTCTGATGGGATGTTTTCTGAATTCCCTGGCTACCCTATGGCCCTGAGATTTTCTGGTGCTCTCCCATCAAACTAATAGGTTCACCCCTGCCTAGTTTTTCAAAATTAGTCAAGGTCAGCTCGGTGAAGCGATTTCTTTCTTTTTTTGAGAGAGACAGAGAGGGAAAACCTAGTATGCTAAAGATTTAAGGATAGATTACAATCCATAAATGATATAGGTTAAAACACTAAAGTGAAAGAAAAGAATACATTAAAAGATGATGATGATGATGATGATGATGACGATGATGATGATGATGATGATGATCCAGTTTGGTCTAGTGGTGAAGGCTCCAGGCTAGAAACCAAGAGCCTGTGAATTCTAGTCCCGCCTTAGGCATGAAAGCCAGCTGGGTGACTTTGGGCCAGTCCCTCTCTCTCAGCCCATGACATCAAGCTTGGGCGACAAGCTGGTTGGTCAATTCTTGTTGCAACCAATGATCAACATTCAGTTGATCTGAAAATAGCAGACCTCACATCTGCAGGAAAAATGCTAGGATGAAAATAATAACAACAAAATCACAAAATGTCTGGGTACCACTGGAACACCATCTGCATTGACAAAATCACCATCAGTCCATTGCAAAACGCAGCTGTACCTGGAGCGGCTTCCATCCCGCGACGATACCTTTAACACCATCAAACAACATTTGCCTATCCCAGGTCCTGGGGAAGGGCTTGATAGGTGGATAAAAACGCCAAACCCAGTCTAAACATCTGGCTGGCTGTGCGACCAACCATAATAATATAGAGAAACACAGATTTTTATGAGGAGCAATAGAACATGGCTTGGTTATGATTTACTAAATTCCATATGCCACAATCAATTTACCTGGTACCACAAAAACAACAATATTCGTATTCAGGTCTTCAGGAAAAGTCCATTCCAAAGCCAAGGCACCTCTACAGAGAATGGCCTTTCCCTCATAACCGCTCCCCCAACTACGTGGCTCTGAAAAGAGCACCCTCCAAGCCTTAAAGTCGAAGCAGATAGATGCTATGAGAATTGAGCTTAAATAGCATTACTAGAACCTTGAAATCCAACCAGTAGGCCAGTGTTGTCCAAACTTGGCCACTTTAAGATGAGTGGACTTCAACTCCCAGAATTGGGTGGCTGGGGAATTCT